GCTGACATACGATTCATGTGAGCTGCAGGGAGAGCTTCCAAGTGGTGGTACCATTGCCGTGAAGAAGCTCTTCCCAATCGCCGGTATGGAGGACAAGCATTTCAAGAGCGAGGTCGAGGTTGCCTGTCTTGTCGGGGTCAAGCAAAAGCATACGGTGCGATTGCTCGGATACTGCTCGGAGATGCAACAAGTAATGATATCGTACCACGACGAGTTTCTCTGGGCAAACCTGCAGCAGAGGCTGCTCTGCTTCGAGTACCTGCCCAAAGGGTGCCTTGCTGACTATCTCTCCGGTAAAATCACATCAGCCCTTTGAGCTTTGGTAAATAATTTTTTTTATGCAAAGTAAATGGTAGTTTTGGTATCTGTTCTTATATACCACTGCAATATATGGACTCTTCTGAATGGGCACATTTTGATTTCTCATCCTCTTTGCCTTGAAGAAAAGAGCACACGAACAAATATGCCATGGATACATTCGTTCTCTTTTCTTTTCTAAAAAAGAGTAGACGATAGAGCTTAATCGAGTGATCAACAGAAAAGTCCGAGCATCTCAACTGACTAGCCAATGTGTTGGCAAGCCCACATTTTCACACCCGAATTTTTACACAAACCGGTGGTTACTTTGTTGCCAATTGTCACACATATTTTTGCAATGAAAATAGGTGTTCTGAGACTGCTTATCCAATCGTATAGTACGTACTAACTATTTGTTGAGTTCTGTACTCTCCACAGATGCATCTTGTGGACTTCCATGGACCACACGTTATCAGATAATCAAGGGGGTCTGTGAGGGCTTACATTATCTTCACCAGCGGCGTATTATTCACATGGACCTCAAACCTCGGAATGTCCTATTGGATGATAACATGACGCCCAGAATTGCCGATTTTAGTCTATCATGCCGCTTAAGTGAAAACCAGAGTTGGGCTATTAGTGAAGACATGGTTGGGACGATGTAGGCTAGCAATTCTCATTGGCGACATGTTTTCATCAGTGATCTACCAACTTTTTTGCATACACTTTATTCACTAATCGAACAACTACACCAATCTTTATGCAGGGGATATATGGCACCTGAACTCATGGATATGGGAAACAGAGAAATTTCCTTCAGGACAGACATATATAGTTTGGGTATTATAATCATGGAGATCCTTATGGGACATAAGAAACACTACAATGTTGAGGAGGTAATTATATTATACACGAGGTTCCAAAGAAAAACATTGTAGACAACATGTTTAGCAGAAACCACAATGTTGTTGAACAAAAATGCAACGCATAGTCGCATATTCTATCAGAGTATGTAATTAACAGTAGGATTTGCAAATGAAAATATTTAAGTGTTATCTTTGTAGTGATCTTCCACAAAACAATTATGAAAAAATAAAGATGGTTCTGCTCCTTCTCAAGTCATTATGTGCTTCAAAAGATTAATAACACTGAAGTTGACCAGTGAAAAGTTCGACGCTGTTTGTGATAGGTATCCTTGCATTTGGTCTTCCAGTCCTAAATGAATACGGCTGCATGTTTTCGTTTTTCAAGTCTAAAATGCATGTTGTCCTTTTTCATAACTCACTACAGTTGTCAAATTGGCAGGTAGTTGAAAGTTGGACGAACAAGTTTGGGGCATCAACGAGCCAGATAGCACTGGACCAAGTAAAAGTATGTGCTGAGATAGGGCTGAAATGCATGAAGGACCGAGATAAAAGGCCTACTACATGGTTTATCATCAATGAATTTGAAAAACTGGGTGAACTGGAAAATTCAAAGTGGTATGTTACAAGTGATGTAGCTACCTCAACAGAAGGGCACTCTGCTGCTCGACAGCGAGTTGGAAACAACACCGTCCTTGAGGAATCTCACTTATCCACATCATCTGATGTATCAGTGTTGCTTGGTGAGTGTTGGTTAATCCATCTCCATACCTTGAATTCTCTTAATATTTCTTATTTTCTTTCACTTTTGTCTTGTGTGCGCTTTAATAAGTAGATGGCTCGGTGAGTGCTTCGTTGGGCACCATCAGACCACTTGCCAAGAAGCTTGACATGCTGCTAGGTCCTGATCAGAAGTACAGTTGCTTTCCCAAGAGGATCAAGGACGGGATGCACTTTCTCAAACATGATGTTGAAGAGATAAGCTCTTACCTTGATGAACTTACAGAGGTGGAGGACCCTCCACTGATGGCCAAGTGCTGGATGAATGAGGCTCGTGACCTATCTTACGATATGGAGGATTACATTGACAGCTTATTATTTGTGCCACCTGATCGTTTCATCGAAAAGGAGAAGAAGAAGAGAAAGAAGAAGGTGATCGTAAAGAAGAGGCTCAAGTGGTACAAACAGATTGCATACACAGCGCAAGTGTCAGAACATGGCATCAAGACAAGTAAAATCGTACATGTTAATGTCCCTTATCTTCCCAGAAAGCCCAATATTTCAGAAACAATATCGAAGTTCAGGATCTATGTCCAGGAGGCTATTGAACGGCATGACAGGTATAAGCTCCAGCTTTGCAGCACCTTGAGGCGTAGATTCTTGTCCACTGGCAGTACGCTTCCAGTGCCCTATGAAAAAGCTACACAAATTGTAATCAATGGCCGGATGAATGAGTTTATCAACTCACTCGCCGCTAACGATGCGGCAGATCAGCTGCAGCTCAAGGTGGTATCTGTTCTTGGATCAGGGTGTCTGGGTAAGACTACACTTGCCAATGTGGTGTACGACAGAATTCGGATCAAATGCAGAGCTTTCATTCGGGTGTCTAAAAAGCCTGATATGAAGAAAATTTTCCATGACTTGTTCTCACAACTACACCAGAAGAAGCAGCCACTACCTGCCAATTGTAATGAACTTGGCATCAGCAAACATCTGCAAGATAAAAGGTACTTTTAGTTTATGTTAACCTAGCAAACATCAATTTTACTATTAGCCTGACACAATATATCTGATATACATGAATTCTTGGCGTGCAGGTATCTAATTGTTATTGACGATTTGTGGGATGCATCAGTATGGGATATTATTAAACATGCTTTTCCGAAGGGAAACCATGGTAGTAGAATAATAATAACTACACAGATTGAAGATGTTGCATTAGCATGTTGCTGTGATCACCCAGAGCATGTCTTCGAGATGAAACCTCTAAAAGATGATCACTCAAGAAAGCTATTCTTTAACAGACTTTTTGGTTCTGAAAGTGACTGTCCTGAAGAATTGAAACAAGTTTCAAACGAAATTGTTGATATATGCAGTGGTTTGCCGCTAGCAACAATCAACATAGCTAGTCATTTAGCAAACCAGGCGACAAAAACATCAATGGATTTGATGGCATCCACATGTGACTCCCTGAGGTCCTATTCATGGTCAAATTGTACTTCAGAAAGAACGAGACAAGTACTGAACGTCAGCTATAATAATCTTCCTCATGGCTTGAAGACATGTTTGTTGTATCTTATTATGTATCAAGAGGGCTCCATAATCTTCAAGGATGATCTGGTGAAGCAGTGGGTGGTAGAAGGCTTCATTCCTACAAGAGAAGGGAAAGAGAAAGATCAAGAGTGGATGGAGAAAGCTGCAGGAATTTATTTTGATCAACTTATTGATAGAAGATTCATCCAACCTATATATACCAACTACAACACTAAGGTGTTGGCCTGTACAGTTCATGACGTGGTACATGATCTGATTGCACACAAGTCTGCAGAAGAGAATTTCGTTGTGGTAGTAGACTACAATCGAAAGAATATAGCACTTTCTCATAACGTTCGGCGACTATCTCTCGTCTTTGGTGATGCAAAATATGCCAAGACACCAGAAAACATCACAAAGTCACAAGTTCGGTCACTTCAATTTTTTGGACTATTCGAGTGTCTGCCTTGTATTAGAGAGTTCAAGGTTCTCCGTGTTCTGAACCTTCAACTATCTGGTCATCGTGGCAACGATAACCCTATAGACCTCACTGGGATTTCAGAACTGTTTCAGCTAAGATATTTGAAGATTATAAGTGATGTCTGCTTAAAACTACCAAACCGTATGCGAGGGCTGCAATGTTTGGAAACATTGGATGTTATGGATGCAACAGGAGTCACTTCTGTTCCATGGGATATTATATATCTCCCACACTTGTTACACCTGACTCTTCCTGTTGACACAAATTTGCTGCATTGGATTGGCAGCATGAGTGAATCCGTCATCAGTCTGTGGAGCCTTGGCAAGCTGAGCTACCTGCAAGATCTTTATGTTACCATTTCTTCTACAAATCTTTCTGGCCATCCGGAGAAAAACATGGAAACTCTGGGTTCTTTACTAGGAGGACATGGCAACCTGAAAAATATAGTAGTGTCTCATGGCCCATCGGTTGAAGATATTGTGGTTCCCGGTGCCTCAAAACTAAGCATTTCCTGGGATGACTTGGAACCTCTCCCACTTCTCCAGAGATTTGAATGCTCGCCGCACAGCTGCGTCATATTTGCCCGAATTCCTAAGTGGGTCAAAAAACTTGGTAACTTATGCATTCTGAAGATTGCTGTGGTGGAACTGCAGATGAGTTGTGTTGATATTATCAGAGGATTGCCTGCCCTCACTGATCTATCGCTGTATGTGCGGTGGGCACCCGGTGAAAGGATCATCTTTGATAAGGCGGCCGGGTTCTCAGTTCTTAAGTACTTCAAGTTGAGGTGCATGACTGGTATAGCGTGGCTAAAATTTGAGGCGGATGCAATGCCTAATCTCTGGAAGCTCAAGCTAGGTTTCAATGCAATCCCCCGAATGGACCAACATCAACTTATCTGGATCGAGCATATGCCAGCCCTTAAAGAGATCTCCGTAAAATTTGGGGGTGCAGCTGCTCATATAGAGTATGCCGTGAGGTCCGTCATTAGTAATCATCCGAGAAATCCTACAATCAACATGCAGCTGGTGAATTCTAGTTCCTATGGTGATGAAAGCACAAAACGGAACCTTCCCACCAACGGGGCTCTCGGGTCATGTGCGGCCACCACAACGCCAATGGAGGCTCCGACCGGCCACGTCGCCATTGCCTTCACTGACTCCGACAACGTCTCCATGGCGGCCGCGGACTTGGTGGCGCTCCGTCGCCTCTCCGACAACCTCGCTGCTGCCTTTCGCTCGCCGGACGACTTTGCCTCCCTTGCCGACGCGCGCATCTTCGTGCCTGGCGCGCCCGACCTGCATGTGCACCGCTATATGCTCTCCGCGCGGAGTCCCTTCCTGCATGCCATCTTCGCGCGCACCGCGGACACGAACGACAACCGGCTGGACCTCCGGGAGCTTCTGGGCGAGGAGGTGGAGGTCGGGTATGAGGCGCTGCGTCTGGTACTCGAGTACCTGTACAGCGGACGTGTCCACGACCTTCCTAAGTCTGCGTGCACATGCGCCGACGAGAATGGTTGCATGCACGTCGGCTGCCACCCCGCCGTCTCCTTCAAGGCGCAGGTCCTCTTCGTCGCATGCACCTTCGAGGTCATCGAGCTCACCAACCTCTTCCAGGTCTGACTCTTCACCCCCTTCTATGTCGCGATGATTTCTTCATACCAGACGTTTATTATGCTTGCTGGGATGCGTATTGCTCAGACGTTTCAATGCTATATTTCAGTCGAATCGGCTAAATCCGAATCATACTTTTTCAGCTATATATTATTTTTAAATTTCAATGCTTTTACAAAATACAGTGGTTGTAAGCATTGCGTTTATGCTGAATTATATGGTACTCTCGTTAAATTGGCATAGTTTTCGATGGGTGGTAGGATATGTTTAGTTTTTTGGAGATCCCTAGTAGGATGCAACACCCACTTAGGTTCTAGAATCAAGACTCCTTTTCTTTCTAAATCAGTTTGCTGTAGGAGAGGAAATAAATTGAGTTGTCGTCTGTGTGTGTGGTGGCTTAAATGTATTCAATATGCAAACCATGCAATTAGTAGTCAAGGTGCTATGTCATTTTGATGGTATTTTAGGGATTCTTGTTTGATTTCTTTTACGGAGGTAACTGTTCAAAGCATAAAAATGATATGCGTCCAGGTGTGTTTGAAAAAAGAACTGTTCAAAGCATCAGTGGTGTTGATATGGTACATGCGCCTACTCTTGTTTATTGCATCAACTAAAGGCAGTTCATGACAAACATGCCTTCATATTATCCAAATCTAGGCTCCATGAATGCTGACAGTTGATGCATGTACAACAAAAACCAAAGCATGTAAATGCAGCATTCCGCACAAAAGAAAACTTGCAACACTGGGAGTTCGTGGCAATAGTAGTCATCTAGTGGACATCCCGAGGAACACACCAGTCAAAAGATTGGGGCTACCCCCTCTCTCCCTCCCATGACGCTTCTTCCCATTGCCGCAGCCGCAGCGAGGCCTCTCTTTCCCCTCCGCTCATTGCCCCATGGCTGGTGTGGGACAGCTAGGCGTGTGGAGGTGCTAGGCTCGCACGTGCCTAGTCGTGCGGCAGCGGACGCACAGGGCGGCGGCGTGGCCCTCCGATGACGGCGTGTCCGCGTCTTGGGCGCCCACGTGCGTTGTGGAGGCTGCGTGTGGATCCTGGATCCAGCTCGGGGCTTGTTGGCTCGGGTCAGATCTGCCCGGTTCTGGCCCTTGGTCGCCGGTGGGCGGCTAGGGGTGGTGGCAACAGCCAGCTAGATTGCTACGACAGTGTGGGCTGTGACGGCGTGGTGGTGGTGGTGTGAGGCGGTTCACGGCGACGGCAGGACATATGCTCCGGCGTGGCTCTTATGGATGCTCATGGGTCCTCTTGAGGTGGCAGGCGGTGGCCAATCTGGCACCTCGCGTCGTTCGGCTGGTAGACGGTCACTACCAGATGCATATCCAGACCGGGAGCGGAGTTTGGGCATCACCGAGGGTGATGTTTGGGAGAGGTCGTGGGAGTGATGGGTGGCGCCGATGCGGTCGGGCTAACCGCCACCAGCAGGGGTGCCGGTCCTCGACATGGTCCGCTCCTGCTTCACCTCTTCTCCGACCTCGTGGCTCCCCTATCGATCTGGTCGTCCCGGTCGCTGGCGGCCCTGTCGGCGGTCGTAGTAGGCCGGTCGGTTCATCGTTCACAGCCATGGAGGGCCTATTGGGTGTCTTGTTCCTTGGGCAGCGGCTCGGGTGGTGGGAGCTGCAGTGCTCATGGGTTGAGCTCACGGCTCAGGTGTGGGAAGCTAGTGGCCATGGCCGCGTGGGCGGCGTGGTGGCTGGCATTTTGATGATCTGCGGCGGTGAAGGTGGAGTATGCTTGCCGGGGTGAAAACCCTGTCTGTCTTTGGCCAGGCCGACGGAGGCAGTGCCCGTGGACGTCGTCATCTTCCTGAAGTCCTCGTTGCGGTTACTCCTTTCCCTTCGTCGTGCTTTGGATGAAAATCTAGATCATTGGATCGGGCAATGGCGGCGCTTCGGTGTCATGTCCTTCCATAAGGCATCGTCTTGGAGCTCTCGGTTTGTCGACATTCAAGTTCATCTCTTCGTGGTATCTCCGGGAAGGGCTCCGACGACTCATTAGTGATGCTTACTGTCATTCTGTAGTCTACTTCCAGTCGTTCGGGGTGTTGTTGATTTAGGTCCTTGGCACCTATGTATCTGGCCTTGGGTGAGTGTGAGTGTGAGTGTGTTGTATTGTAGGTTGTACTAATTGGTATGTTGGTTGTTGTTTATATATAAAGCGGGGCGAAAGCCCTTTTCAAAACTTGTAGCCACTCTAGTTTTATCAATTAATAAAGTTTTATATGTCAGTGTGTGTGTAGTGAAATATCACCACCGACAATAATTATAATAGCACCTAAGAATCGTAATGTTTATACACATATTAGCTCCATAACTCCTCATTTCCATTAGATCAATAAATATTCTCTTAAGGGGGAGTATTTAGATAGGGCCCCCGTGTTTTTAGGGAAATAGTCAACCCGTGTACTGCACAAGCTAGAAATTTTGAGACATGACTCTAATTATTTTTTGCGTTTTCAGATTCTTATTTGGGATTTGTATTTGGACAGTTCTGACTTTGCTGCAGATGATTTGTGTGTCTAGAAATTGATGATAATTCTTATGGAGTTGCTACTTGTAACAGTTGGCGTTGTATTGTTTCGTGTTTTTAAGGATCCAGTACTAAGGCACGTTATGCCCTATTTTCCATGCAGCGGTATCTCCTTGATGGCCTTGATGATGTTGAAGTGGATAACCTGCCATTGATCTTATCCGTCGCAAACTTGTGCTATAAATCTTGCATGAAACTGCTCGAGAGATGCCTTGAGATGGTAGTCCGGTCAAATCTTGACATGATTACTCTTGAGAAAACATTGCCTCCAGATGTTATCAAGCAAATTACTGATTCACGGCTAAGTCTTGGGTTAGTTTCACCTGAAGACAAGGGATTTCCTAACAAACATGTTAGAAGGATACTCAGAGTTCTTGACTCTAGTGATGTGGAGCTGGTGAGGATGCTGCTCAAGGAAGGGCGGACTAATCTTGATGATGCATTTGCATTGCACTATGCTGTAGAACATTGTGACTCGAGGATCACAACAGAACTTCTGGACATTGCAGTTGCAGATGTTAATCATACAAATCCAAGAGGTTATACTGTTCTTCACACTGCTGCCAGGCGAAGAGATCCTAAAATTATTGTCTCTCTTTTAGTGAAAGGTGCTCGACCTTCCGATCTTACATTTGATGGAAGAAAAGCAGTTCAAATCTCAAGGAGACTCACAAGACACGGGGATTACTTTGGGAATACTGAAGAAGGAAAACCGTCTCCTAATGAGAGGTTATGCATTGAGATACTGGAGCAAGCTGAAAGATGTGATCCACAACTTGGAGAAGCATCTGTTTCTCTTGCAATGGCTGGTGACTGTCAACCTGGAAAGTTGTTGTACCTCGAAAACCGAGGTAATATTCATCTGCAAAATGTGTATTGTTCAAAATTGCCTGTTTGGTATTGGTTTGCACATGGTTGCATTTTGCATGTGGAGTGAAGTTCGCCATGCTCAACTAGCCAATGTGCTACTTTTGTCTTCTCTTGGAAGTTGTGTTCTTACTCAATTATTTGCATGCTATGTAGTTGCTTTGGCGAGGATAATGTTTCCAATTGAGGCAAGAGTAGCAATGGACATTGCTCGAGTGGATGGTACGTTGGAATTTACCCTTGGTTCTAGTTCAAATCCACCTACAAAGATGCATTGGCCAACCGTTGATCTAAATGAAAATCCTTTCAAAATGAACGATGAACACTTAGCTCGGATGAGAGCCCTCTCCAAAACAGGTGAGGCACAGCTTGCCTTTGTATAACCATGGTTCTTATATATTACTATTATTCATATATTCCACCTAATAATACACTTCTTTAGCTTAGCTGATGTAGCATTCTTAATAAGAAAGCTTTTGTAGCTGAAATTGAAATCCAACATGTTATCAATCCATATGATCTAAATAATTGAAGAGTGAAAACTAGATATTTAGAGCAAATATGCACTTGTCCATAATAATCATACAAAATGCGAATCAGGGATTATGCTAATGATTAGTCTTTCCTCTCTGCGTGAGAGGGGGGGGGGAGGGGGGGGCTGTTTGAACTAGGTGTGCTAGTTGTGCACTTGTGCACAAACATTTTTGGGATTCAACTGTAAAACTATATTTTACCAACTTTATGGGTCGGGACTAATTGCAAGCTCAATGTTTATACCAGTCGAGCTCGGTAAACGCTTCTTCCCGCGATGTTCGAATGTGCTTGACAAGATCATGGATGATGAAAATGCTTCCCTCGAAAGAGAAGCATCCTCCGAGAGGAAGCGGAGGTTCCATGACCTGCAGGACACACTTCTCAAGGCATTCAGCGAGGACAAGGATGAGTATGCCTCAAGGACCGCCATCAGTAATCCTCAGAGCAATCCTAGAATCAACATGCAATTGGTGGGTCACAGTTCCAATGTTGACAGAAGCAGAAAAGGGGAACAACAACTTGGATGACATTCTTCTTTTTTTTTTTTGGAATTACTTGGATGACATTCTGAACGGTGAATACAACAAGAGATTGGAGAGACCAGCTGATTAAAAGGTACCAAGGATCCTTGTAAAAAGCAGGGAATATGCCCTCCTTTACGTTGGCTTAACCAGATTTAATCCTTTGTGTTGCAACAAAGCTAGCTAAATGGTTGTTGTGATCAGGATTTCAAGGTCACCGGAGTCCTCTTCTTGTCAGCATGTTCCAAGTATGCTTTTCTGTTAACTTGTGCTGATGGAGCAGTTTTGCCTCCAACTTAACTAATAAAGTTACTAGAGCACCAAAGAAGACGTGTAATCGGCCGCCAATTTTTGCAAAAATCTGAGCAAGACTGAAAGCAATCTTCGTCGAGGGCACTACTAGACATGTCGTATTCATCCTCAAGGGGTAAAAGTCGAATTGAGTACAACAGGTACAGATCAAGGTGGTGGTAGCAGGTAGCTGCTTCTGTTTATTGTACTCCCTCTATAAACTGATACAAAAGCGTTTAGATAGTGATCTAAATGCTTTTATATTAGTTTATAGAGGGAGTAGCAGGTACTAGTAGATTAGTTCCAACTTGCACCGAAATCTGCTACTACTAATAGACCCGGTGCTGGTTCAATTCAGCACACTAGTCTAATCTAATTATAATTGTGCTTGGTAGGTATGCAGTACTAGTATTTCAGTATTGTAAAAAAATCAAGAATATGTATTGTAATTTGTATATATGGGACTAAAATAAATATACCTCGGTAGCTCTTTTACCAGGGTCAGGGTGGTCGCTGCTCACTGGCGCCTCCCGACGCTCCGCCGCTCTTTCCCTCTCACTAGAACAGAGAAGCGTGCGTGACCAACCTCTACCTCCCTCCTTGTCCTCTTCTCGGGTCACTCGCCGGCGACCTCCTCTCTCTGTCTCCCGCGGCAGCAGCCAGCGTCATCGGCAGAATAATCCGGCGAGAAGGCGCTTGGGACGAAGAATGTGCTCGCTTGGGGTGGAGGAAGAAACGAAGGAATGTGGCCAGGGCCGGTCCATACATATTCGGGGCCCTGGGGCGAGACGGCAAAATGGGGCCTTGTGGACAAATAAAAATTCAGAATATATTGTATTTCGTAGCAATTTAGTAGATAGCATAGATTGATGGTCTTTGAACTAAAAAGCACATGCCACAGATTATTAATTTGTAATGGTCCAGAGAACTACTATATCATAAAAGTATGGAAACAATATAATTCTACAAAAGAATGCTCTTGTAAGTGGCACAAAGAGACCGTCATCTTGCTCTCCTAAGTGTGAAAACCTTGGCAAAACTGATAGGAACTTGAAGCGTTTGTGTTATCATGAGATATAATGTTAATGCATGAGAACTTACAGTAGTTTCTGTTCTCTTCAATCTGTTCGTCACACGGTGTCTTCACCCAAAGAAAACGTCTCCAAAGCTTCCTGAATATGATGATCAGATCTTGTTGTTTCTCCTAACACTTCTGGAAGAAAAGTCATCAATAACCACTTCAGTATTTGTTTCATCCAACTTTTCTTTCTCAATGCATAAAGTAGCAAGACCATTCAATCTTTTAGAAGACATGTCACCAAAAAGTTGGAGAAAAACAGTCAATACATGGAACAAAAACACCTGAATATGGGCATATGGCTTGATGTCGAATTGTCCATGCAGCATCCCACATCTGCAAGGCTGCAACACTCATTCCCCATCCCCCCTTCTCATCCGTGGATCCAATGACTCTTTGAAGAGCAGGCCAACAGAAGAGTGGGAACTAGGAAGAGAAGAATTGGAGATGTCAGATGGAGCAATCTGAGGCGGGGCACCAGGCTATTTAACAGCGAATCAAAAGAATACTTGATTAGGGGAAGGAGGTAGACGTACCATCTCTCATACGATGATCTCTCAAACGTCTACTTACTAGGGAATGTTGAGGATGCAAAGAGAGATGATTGAAAAGGGAATAGCACCGTTGATCTCCATTAATAGATGCAAGGAGCGGCGCCTTGAATTTGGAAGTGCACGGCAGCGGCGGCGCTGTTCTCTGGGGATAGGAGAATTTGGGGGAGGAGCCGAGGAGGCGAGGAGGTTGATGAATGCTGCAGCAGCGTAGCGAACCAATCAATTATTTCGGTCCGCGAGTGCTAGCTACGTGGTGGGCTTGGGCCTTGTTTTTTCTGGATCCAAAGAAGAACTACTGCCTGGGCCGGGGCCCCTACCTCCCAGGGGCCCAGGGCGGTCGCCCCGTTGCCCCGGCCTATGGGCCGGCCCGGAATGTGGCGGGAGGAGAATTTCGGTGCGCCGGCGTTTCCTCTGCAATATGGCTCTCGATAGAGCATCTCCAACAGCCGCTCAATGCGCGGCGCGCTAAAAATGAGTTTGCAGCGTGCCGATCGCCTGCTTTGGCGCGGCGGGGAGCGCTGGCTCCAGCAGCTGCGGTAAATTTAACGCGCGTGTATAGCTCCAGCAGGCGCGCTAAAATGCAGCGCGCGTGATCAAACGAACAATCTGGACTAGGTTGCATAGATATTTTTTTAGATAAATAAACGATACATAATTCATCATAGCATAGATCTAAAACAATACATAGATATTTTACATAGTTCATAGCATAGATAGATAAAACTACGGTGCAACTACATAAATAAAAACTACAGTGCAACTAAAACTACGATGCAACTAGATAAAAACTATGGTGCAACTACAACCTACTCCGAGTCGTCCTCATCATCATCATCTTCGCTGGTGTTGTCCGAGGTATCAAGCCAAATGTCCTCCCAATGAGGATCATCATCCTCAAACAACGACTCCCCACCTGCTTCAATAATATCGCACTGCGATATGGCCAGTGCCTTCCGCCGACGCCTGTCCGCCCGCTCCGCGCGGCGCCTTGCCGTCCTCTCCACCCAGTAGGCGCGCTCGTTGGCGACGTCCTCCGGGTGGCGCCGGCGCCACTCCGCCATGGTTCGCTTGTCCTCCTCGGGGATAAGGAGGCGGCGCTGCCGCCGACGGTGCTCCGTACGGTCCTGGTCCGTGATAAGACGAGGCGAAGGGGCGACGGCCTGCGCCTATTCGCGCGTGTAGACGTCATGGAAGTTCATTTGCACGCGAGGCCTCTCTAGGCGCCACGCCGCCGCGTCATACGCGCGGGCGGCCTCGTGTGCGGTCTCGAACGTGCCGAGGCCAAGGCGGACGTCGCCCGACCGAATCTCCGCGTAGTAGGTGCCGCAGGGGCGCTCGCGGACGCCGCGGTAGCCAGACGATCCCCGGCGGCGCGGCGGCATGGTGGCGCGGTGGTGGCGGGGCGAGGAAGTGGCGAGCAAGCGGCAGAGTAAGTGGCAGAGGGAGCGGGGAGAGCGCGCGTGGCGAGCGCCGCAATTTATAGGCGCTCCTGAAGCGGTGCGCCAAATCTAGCGTGCGAGCTGCCGCATTTTCCCCCACGCACGCAATCATTTCTCCCGCGCGCTAGTTTCCCGCCTGCGCTTGAGCGCGTGAAAACGTCCCGCACGCGCTAAAATGATAATTTACCCTGCGCGCGCGTCTTTTGACGCCGCTGTTGGAGATGCTCTTATCTTTTTCTTTTTTTCCTGTTGTGAAGAGGAGAACGAAAGCATCGCCGGGCAGATGCAGCCCACCCATGCGACTGCGAGCTAGTAGTACTTTCGATAGCGACCCTAAAAAAACCTTCGATTGCGGAAAATGCAAATGGAGCCTGAGCTACAGGGAGCTTGTTTCCAAAATTCAATAGAGAGCGCAAAAAAAATTAAATTTATCTGTGGACACACACACACATGTATATTGCATACGTGCAAAAATTCAGAGCATTATACCTTCACATGGAGACGGGAAGTGCATGAATGAACCCGGGTACATATGAACCCACTTTGAAACACACATTTCTAAATAAAAAAAAAGGGCAGCCGGGTGCATGTAGCTCCCCCTTGCGCAGGGTCCGGCGAAGGGTCCGACCATTTTGGGTCTATTGTACGCATTCTTTCCCTACATTTCTAAATGCTAAAAAAATTCTGAACAATGTTGCACTGGTATGTCTTCATGTTCTATGTGCGTGCACAAAGTTTTGCGGAAAAATAACATTTTTTGTGGCCAGTGCAAAAAAGATAAAAAAAATTGTGTCGTGGAATGCTATTTAGAAGCATTGAAATTTGTCTTTTTTGTTGAGACAAAACAAAAAGACATTTTTTCACAAAACTTTGTGCCACGCACATACATTTGCGTGTATGCATGAAATTTTCGTATGAATTTTTTGAAATTTTAAAACGTGTTTAAAATGCATTTGTTAAAAAGTGGGTGCAGATGTTCTTGGGTTCAAGACGTGCCCACTCACATGGAGACCTCCTATATGGCGCGTGACGATCATGCCAGCGCGCACCCTAGTGGGCCGGCCCATGAGCTGGGCTGAATGTCCCAGTTTTTCTACTTCGTTATTTTTTCTTTTCGTTTTTCTTCTTTGCTTTTACTTATTTTTCTTCTTCAAAATAATGTGTAATTTATAAAAGTTTCAAATTTCAACAAAATTCAATTTTGTAAAAAAAATGTTCGTGATTTCAAAATAATGAACATTTTTTGAAATAATTTTTCGAAATTTAAAGAACATTTTTCTTCTTCAAAATAATGAATATTTTTAATAAGGATGAAGATTATTATATTTGACAAAAAAAATTAAATACATTGAAAATTTCTTAAACTTAATGAACAAAATTTGTATTTAAGAGTATTTTTCAAAAAAATGTATGAACAAATTTTGAATTGGATGAACAATTTTTTTTAATCAATGAACAAATTTGAATTCAGTGATTTTTTTTGAAATGGATAAACGAAATTTTCATTTGATGAACATTTTTTCAATTGGATGAACAAATTTTGAATTTTGATGAATATTTTTTCTATCCTGTGAATAAAATTGAATTTTATGAACATTTTTTAAACCATTGAACATTTTTACACATTGATGAACATTTTCTGAATTTGATAAAAAAATGTTATCTAATTTGGAAAAAAAATAAAAAAGAAAAAGGGAAACAAAAAAAGAAAAAGAAAACTAAAGAAAAAACGAAAAGAAAAATAAACGCGATATGGGCTGGACCATACGAACACCCAGCGCTGGGGGGGGGGTGCATGCCAGGTCGCTCGGCGGTGGCCCACGCACCATATAGGAATCGCCGGAATCACTAATTGAGGACTCCTTCCAAAGATCACTTCCACCTCCCCAGGTTGCGGCAAGTGGCGCGCTGCATGTGCATCACTTGTCGCAACCTGGCAGTTTCCCTTTTTTCGTATATCCGTTTATTAAAAATATTTTATTTCTTAAACCGTGCAATCAAATCTTAAACCGTTTTCATCGTTGAATTCCTCGCACCGAGATCTTCAAAACTAGATCCCACTTTAATAGGTTTTGACAAAATCACAAAAAAACCTGACAAAAAACAAGAAGAAAAACCACACCGGGAGCACGTCTTTTTTTCCCTTTCCAAAAAGCATTTCCGAGAGGCACGGCCGTGCCTCTCGTGGAAACAAATCCGTGCCTCTCATGGAAGCAAAATCATGCCTCTCGCGGAAGAAAAAATGCATATTTCTTTTCGTTTTCGAGAGGCACGGTCATGCCTCTCGCGGAAGCAAAACCGTGTCTCTCACAGAAGAGAAAAAACAAATTTATTTTTGTTTCCGAGAGGCACGGCAGTGCCTCTCTCGGAACCAAAATCATGCCTCTCGGAAAAGCAAAATGATGCCTCCCACGGAAGGAAAAAAAAAAGAAAACACCTTTCTTTCCGTTCCAGATAGGCATGGTCATGTCTCGCGGAAGCAAAACCATGCCTCTCGTGAAAGCAAAACTATGCCCCTCGCGGAAAAAAACGCGTTTTATATTCCATTTCCGATAGGCATGGCCATGCCTCTCACGGAAGCAAAACTATGCCTCTCGTGAAAGAAAAAGAAGTATTCTTTCGTGCAAAAAAAACATTTTTTTTTGTCAAAAAGATCGGAAAGATGGGTAGAAAACCGAAAGCCGAAAAACCCGTAAAAAAGTCATCTAAAAAACCGAAAACGCATGTGGAGAAAAAACCCGGAGAGAGCGCCCAGAGCACGAGACGTGGCGGCGGCCGAGAGCGTATAGAAAAAAGAGAAATACACATTTTTAACAGGCTTTTTTTTTGTTGTTGGGCTGGATTTTTGTTTTCTTACAGACTACAAATGAAAACATTTTTAGACGATATTTAACACGTTCTTGCAGAACACATATATCTTTCCGTGGACTTTCTCAGATTTTTTTTAATGTTTTAAATATCCCTTTCATTATTATTTTGAAAATACCGAGCTCCCTGGAGCTCGGCCTCCAAAACTTCGCACACCTTCGATTTGTTCTTTTCTACATTGCCTAAAAAAATATTTTTCTTTTCTACACTAAATAAACTAAACTAAAAAAATTCCTTTTTTCAGCACCTACTTGTTTTCCAGCCATAGTTGTACTAGCACATGTTTATAAAGAAAAGGTGTATTAGAACATGTTGTGAAAATTCAGAGCCACCCGGTTTCTAAATTGTACAATTCAAAAGACGACACATTTGTATCGTTTTGTCAATCAAAGATGCCATCTTCAACTTAAACTAAGGGCCCATGTAAATCGTACAAATATAGAAATCGGTGGAGAAGAGCTGAGAACATGGCACAACTTTTTTTTAACTACAAGTGTCCCTATGATTCACGTCAATTGAAAAGGTAAATAGAAAAAAATTTGTGCAAAATGAAACTTTATAGAAAAATCTTACATCTTTTGTGCCATATGTTCATCTATTTCAACCAAAAATATCCACTTGATTGTGAAAATATTTAACAAAAAAATAATTTTCAAGGAAAGGTTTAAGTCATTACAATATTTTGTGAAGTATGTTATAGGATCTCAAATTAATGCTCCACTAGATTTTGAGAAGAATTTTCAGCAGTCAAGAGAGGAAGAAAACACGCATATATAGGAAAAAAGAATGACAATCTAAGGTCGACGTGGCATCCAACCACATTTGGACATAGGTATTTTTACGTTGTGACCTCATTTCTTAGTTCTTACTAATGCCCTAGGGCTTAGTACAAGTTTTCAGGCACGAAATAAATAAATAGTGGTTATAGCCACTTATAATTAACTTTCTTACTTAAGTTGTACTACAATATACACATATTCAATCAATCGGTGCAGGTTACCTAAGAATCTGGTAGCACCTCTATATGGATTGTAGCACTAGATCATGTTCTTGTCTCCTAGACTCCTAGCCTACGAAATCATGCAACACCTCAGACCCCATGAGGTTCCTATACGGTAGCACCATGTCTTCCTCCTCAGCTCCAATCATGAGCGGCGATTGTTGTTGCGTGATCATCGCCGGTGATGCAAACGCCCGTTGCTGCTGGAGTCCCAAGGTAAGCGACACCGTGCCACTGCCACCATCACCGTGCAAACTTGGGTAGCCATGGAGAAATTGTCCACTGTCGGCAACAAAGGAGGATGGGATGAAGCAATCACCAGGGTTGTTTCTGCCGCTACGGCGATGGCAACTTTGATCTGATGTTGTCGTAACCGTCATCCATGCTGCCAAGTTGTTGTTGTGATGATCCGTGGGAGCAGGTTCGCCTCTACCACCGCTAGCATTGTCGTTGTCATGTTGTATGGTTTCTTCCGCGTACATCTCCTCTATCATGGGCTTCCATAGCCTAACCCTTGCATTGATGAACCAGTTGGAAACCTATAAAATGAATTAGGTTCTACTAGTTAAGTGTATATATCATACATTCATACTCACAACAAATATTTTGTAATGGAAAAGATTAAGGTAGTTATCCCGTGCTCATGTTTGAATAACAAACCTGGCTTCTCGATAACCCGGACTGACGCGCCAGAATGTGCTTGTCTACGTCATTCGGATACCTGTTTAATTCACATAGTTATGTTTAATTCATTTTGGCAAGTATCTTCCTTTTTATAGTATCCAGTTGTTTGTTTTTTTTCTAACCTGATCGCCTAAAATTGCACTCTTAGGAGTTGGAAAACTTTAGTGAGATGGTGGCATAACTTTCATTTATAAGTTATAGAGCAACTATTTGGACCCCGAGGATAGTTTGATGTTGAAGATGGAGATAGATTGTTTGGAACACACGTACGGGTGGAGGAAGTGCTCAAAGAGCCACGAGCGGAGGACGGCGACGGCGCGCTCTGGCAGGCCACGCTGCGGCCGCCATGGGCAGCTCTCAATAGCGGCGGCACCACCATATTGCTGGAACGCCCTTTGCCGCCTCAGGCATTGGTCCACAACCCTTAGCCTCGGCGTGTCCCCTTTTGACGCACCCGGTGCTACCAACATGCCGTCGGCATCCCTGCTCTCCCCCATCGACTTCTTCAATGTTCGTATCTGCCCCACGAGCGCATCCCTTAGGCACCGGAAGTGGCGTGACATGGCACGCATAGCCAGCTTCGTGTACACTTGTGCTGCCCCTGTGCCGGCCACCGCCTCGAACGACAACTCTGTTGCCCGCATTTTCTCACGGTATCGCCGGTAGCACCTGTCCACCTTCATAATACATGATACCAGTTGAATTCATTGATAATGAAGCTAGGATCCTTCTTAATTTAGTTTAGGATAGTTATACTCTCTTGCTGTAGCTAGTGATTATCACCACAAATGGCATCCTGATTTATGGCATGTACACATGACTAAATGTATAATCATGTGGGTGATCAAGAAATAATAAGACTACAATTTTTACAAAAAAGAAACCCAGATGCAGCTCTGTAAAAAGAATCAAGACCATGAAATTCATAAAGGTGAGAATATATAAGTGAATTTATTATAAGTTGCTTTGCTAATTGCAGATAGCAAGATGCCTAGATAGGATGAAAAGTTGTAAGAGTGAGGATAGAAACTTCCGAAACTGTGTCTATCACTAGCTAGCTAGCTACATATGCACTGTGCGCTTATGTCGACATGTTTACTAACAAGAAATTAACACTGAAAAGTTGCAAGTGAGGGTGAGAGCTACGCATGGTCTGTAAATTAAGCTAAGATCGACCGAGTAGGCAGTAACGAACTAATTATTTAACTCTAGCGAAACCAGTAATAGAGTAGCAAAAAGAATAGCTTGTGTGTGTACCTACCTCTTCAACCATGGACAGTAGCCTGGCCTTCCTCCTCTCGAGCGCCATGTAATCCATGGAGCTTACAGACGGGTTGGCGCCCCATGGACCACAAGCCGGTGAGGACGCCTCCACGTCGTCATCCCGCTTCGGAGCTCGCATCATCACGCCGCCGTTCATGGCATCCCCTTCAAGGCTGCAGAACTCACGGAGCAGTTCCTTCGCGGGGCCCAGGTACCTGGAGCTATTTAACCGGAAGGGCTGCTGCTGCATGGACATCATCGACGGTGGCGCCATCGTGAAAGGTTGCAGCTCATGCTCGCCGCCGGCCAGCGAATAAGACGATCCACCACCGGCCGGGCCATAGAGAGAGAGCGTCGACACTTGCGGTGGCCATGACCTATCATCGGCACCTCCTGGTCGTGGTGGCATGTCGTCGTGGAGGGCGAGGAGGCCGTGGTGGTCGAAGGCCATGGCCATGGTGGCGGGATTGGGAGTCACCGGCGACGAGGAGGAGAAGCCGAGGAGGTGGTGGTGGTGTTCATGGGATGCCATCATCGGTATATAGTACAGCTCTAGAAGTATGAAGAGAGAAGAATTCCACTACTTGCAAGTATGCTATAGTATATGTGTATGTGTATCATATATAGCGCAGCTCTTGTGTAGCAAATAAGGATTGACATGCAAGCATGAAGAGAGAAGAATTCCAAGCTAAGGGTAGAGAGAGAGAGAGAGAGAGAGAGAGAGAGTTGGTGGCTTACACTTGCATGCTCTTGCGTTACCTTTATGCACTTGTGTGGTCTCGGTGGATCCTAGGAATAAGTTTGTATGGATATGCATCGATATCATCTACATGCACACCGATGTGTGTGTTAGTGTGAGAGGGTGCATCTTAGCTTTTGCCACTTTGATGAACCTAACTACTTCCATTTCATCTTAAGTAGCCGTACGCCGGGATCTAGTCAAACATATGCTCTCTCTGGTCTGATATGCAGGCCCCCGTTGTATTTTGAAAAAAAAAATCATGGTAAAACATGTCTCGTTTATATCATAAAGATCATAGTACAAGTCACGTATATACCGGCCTGGCAAAACTAAACAAATAGCAGAATCCTTAGTCTTTGCACAAAGAAGCACCAGCCAAGAAGTAAAACTACATACAAGACTGAAGAAACCTCTGAGCTTGGCAACAACGCCTGTCACCTGCCTCTGGCACCACCACAGCAGCCATCAAAGGAAAAAATGACGGATCACCTCCACACCCGAGCTCGACGTGGCTTCATCGCTGATATACAGCTTTGTGGATCTTCAAGGTGGCTCGCCAAAGGCGAAACCATACCGCTGAACTAATCAGACCGGGGTAACACCCCGAACACGCCATCGAACTTCAGGTCTGACACCCTCACACGACTAAGACGCCGGAGGAGAAAACCGTATCTGCCATCCACGTACCACGATCCCAGCACATAATCCACCATCTTCTTGATGCCGTCGATGCTGACCACAATTTTCACTCGCTCCTGGACTACCTCCCAAGCCCGTCGGCGCTGAAGCAAACACTGTCGCGACGACGGAGCACGAGGACACAGGTCCATCAAGAGGATGTCGCCGCCGCGGCACCATTCTCGCTTGAACAGGCTGGATTACAAATCCATCCCCAACAATAGGACCGTCACCTCGTTGGAAATAGGATCTGAAGGAACTTTATTGAGCACCGCCATCACAATTGCCGAAGCCAAGATGATGAACAACCTAAAAAAACATCTACTTTGGCCTAAAGCTATCCACACGCGTGTATCCGGCAACCCTCCTTATCACCGACGACCGAGGTAGTCGTTTTAACTAAGAATACACAAGTTCTATACCAAAAATTATATCCTCAGCTTTGCATTTCCTAGTAATCAAGACTCAAAATATGAGGGGGTTCTGTAAACCAGACCAGAGGGTGTCATATACTCCCTCCGTCCCATAATGTAAGACATTTTTTGACACTACACTAGACTCAAAAAAGTCTTACATTATGGGATGGAGGGAGTAGTATATACTTACTATGTATACATTTTAAGACTTGAAAAGAAGCCCTAGGACAGACGTATATAGCTAATCTACAATGTTCATATTAATTGGTACTGCAAGTGTACTGATAGTAGAGATGAGAAAATTATATTACGGAACTAAAATGGGAGCTTTCCATGGTCCGAGCAAAGTATGGTGGTACTAGTACCATGTACATAATATGCACACATTTTCCACTGAATTTATTCGCTTTCTGCATCAATGGACCACTTCTCTTTCAGCTAGTTGCAGCCTCTTGTGGTCCAAGCATATTGGATTGTTACACCATGTATTTGTCCCTCCATCAATCAGTAGGTACGTTGTCATCCCAATTAGTGGATGTATCGTTATGTATATATGAGCCACATAATTAAGGAAAATCTTTCAAAACATTGAAAAATCATATGTCAATTGTCAAAGGTTCCTGTAGGCTCATAAATGATATTTTACTGTATACTGAAAGGATCATGTAACTAATAATACGGAGCGAATTAATGGGGCAGTCATTACTCACTCCATCCAAAATATAAGGCGCATTACTATATTTCATGCTAAATTTTAGAACTTTTGTTAAACACATTTACGTCATATATCCCTTTACTACTTTCTAGAATATAATAATTATGTGAAAATCATAAATTTTGAACTAACCGTATCTTGAAAGTTTTGGAAAGTCAAATGCACCTTATATTTTGAGACGGGGGTGCAGTTTAGTTTGATTATTACTTCTTAACGACAATTGTTCATTAGTCTCAGCAAACAACCCTCTCTACGTAGAGCTAGTTAGAGCCACAGAAAATGTGCTCCAAATTTCAGTGCAGATCGGCATCAACATTGGTGTCCAAAAGGAATAGTACGAAACCACTGGGCCTTTCATTTCACACCATGAATGCTAATAAATAAGTAATGTAATAGGTCAAACGGCTATCAACGTTGTACTCTAAAGTTTTGAGAAAAAAATGTGTAGTATACCTTTGTCCCAAATTACATGGCTTTCCAGATCCCCGTAGTCAAAATTTATTTGAATCTGACTACGGGTATATGAAGGGTACTTATTTAGATTCGTACTGAATACTTTTTTCATTACATAAATTTCCTTGTTTTTGTAATGACATGAATTTTTTAAGAATTTTGTTGGAGGCCGTGCCAACATCTAAGACATCATGTGTTTTGGAGAAGAGAGAATAACCTTTTGGACATGTCAGCTATACTTCTAGAACTCGTCTGCTGAACTCTTTTTTGCATACCCTGTAACTTATTGTCTATAAACGATGATAGGCCTGAATAGAATATCCCGACATGTATAAGATTTTTTTTCCTGCAAAACAAATCCAACATAGCTTACTCATGTAGCCACGGGTTTTTAATTTGACCTCCGTAAACCGTCTTTTTCAAGGCCATTGCTTTGCACCATTAGCAATAAATTTTTGTTGTGTCTATCCAAGAATGCAGGGCCAGTCAGGCCCTGTCCCTCCTTTCAAAATGAAATTGTTAGTAAGGCTGGTCATAGTGGGGAGTAATTTAGACTAGTAACATGCATATTTTACTAGTCTAAAATGAAATTGTTAGTACAGCTTAAGATGTTTTTGAGTTAACTCTTTTTGCTAAGCCGTTACACAACTAATGCCCCACAAGGATACATGAGGTGCTGGACTGTTGGCGGTTTTTGACCCCTTGTGTTGGTTGGGGCTGGGACACATGCAACCATCAATCAATCAATTAATGGTTGTACTATGATTCGTACGTACTGCATAGACTTGTCAATCTTAATAGGGGTTATTTCCATGTGCTGAAATTTGGTGCTTAGCTCAACCGCTGCCGACGCATTACATTGCAGTACTACCCAACTATATTGCTAGCCACATACAGGACCATAGTTATTAGTAGCTACATGCCTGCAGCCAACATGTTTGATCCAACGTTAAACCCAATCAAAACCTTGTAGCTAACTAGAGTACAAACTAAGAAGCAAAATTATGATCGGTGATTTGGCGTGTGATTTGATCAAGGATGAATGTAGGCATGTTTTGTTTGCGTCGCTGTCGCCGCTTGAGAGGCCTTAATCTGCCCACGTTTGTCTTAGGCCGGGGATCATCCCCACCACATATATATCTTTGCATATACCTTGTGATATGTATGGTCGACACCTTGGGGGCATGATGTGAAGCTTCACCTGCACCTTCTCCTGGTCTTGCCTTTCCCAAGGTTTATTGATAACGACTAGCAAGGGTGATCAAGCAAAATTAATAGAGTTAGTTCAAATAAATCATACTCCTTCTGTCCGGTTGTATTCGACCGGAGGTGCCAAAATGCTAATAACAAGGCGAAAAATAATTTTTAGTTTCCGAGCACTTGTAAATTTTACATGAGAAATTTAACTTGTGCGTGTCATTAATACACCTTCAAGTGGCAGAGAGGCTGATTGGCCGGCATTCTGTGTGATTTTTTTTTGTACAATGGTAGGGTCACGAAGGACCCAAAGTTGAACTATATACAAACATGAGAAAAGTATAACTCGCACAAGGACCTAACTGAAAAAAAGAATATACCAAGGCCCAACCCACAAAATATCACAAAGCAGAGTGGAATTGTCTCTGATATATTTCATTATGTGAATCCCAGGAGGAGTGCGAATTTGTGGAGAACAGGCACCTTGGAGCCTATCATTTAAAAAAAATAGAAAATGATATTTCGAAGTTAAAAAAATAAAAAAAATTGTGTGCAAACTTATACATATTCGCCACGGATCAGTGAATTTTCGTTCGATGATTTGGAAGCTGCGCAAAAATAATTCTGGCCCAACAAAAAAAATTGACCCATTTTGCATGTATGCATTTGTCTTTTTTTTCCTACGCCATGTAAGAAAGCATATTGTTACGAAACTTTTCTCGAACGTGTTATTTGTGTTCCTGTATGTAATTTTCTTTTCAGTTTTTCTGGACTGCGGAAATATGATATGTTCAAAATGGCCTCCATGAAGCCTATCCTCCACTGGTCATTTTACATCACAGGAGGTCCTCTACATAGAGATGATGTATGCAACGGTTTTAGCGCCCGATAGCTGAATAGCGCTCGTGCGCGCCGCTTGATAGACACTCGCTCACATGAAGCTTCCTATCAAGCTTGCTCTAGGACACATTAGAACACCACCAGTTGATCCTTGAACACTGACCCTTTGACTATTCACCAATTTGACCGTTGACTTTAGAAAAAAAAGTACTAAAAATTTCGAATTAAAAAACATAAATTTGAAAACGTACATAAATTTGATAATTTCATAAAAAAACTTAATAAATAATTTTCAAAACCTTCAATTTTTTAAAAAATGTCACGAATTTGAAAAAAAGTTCACCAAAATTAGGGGAAAAGTTCGCCATCTCAAAACTAATTCACACATTTGCAACTATATTCCTAAAATTGTAAACAATTGCGATTTCAAAACCTTCACAGATTTAAAGATGTTCATGGATTTTTTGAAAAATCTTAAAATTATAGATAAAAGC